CCACTTAAAAAGCAACTCGGAGCGGTCGTGGCTGGAATGAATAGGGCACAGGACAAGATTCACAGAGCACACAAGCGAAAGCCCCCCTCCCCCTAGAGTAGGCCGGACAAGTGCCGAAAGTGTGCAGTGTCGCAGATGACACTTCATAATTCGGTTGCAGAACAGTCCAGAAATAGGGAAAAATGGGCTAAGTTCACCAAGGGGGTTTACAGCTCGAAGAGCTTGCTCCAGCTTCAGAAGACATCAAAGGTTTCACCAGAATAAGACTTGTAAACCGGAACTAGTGAATCAGCAAAAGTACAAACTGGCACCCCCCTGTCGCCGTACTGTGCCGATTTGCGCTTCAGTGACTGAAAAAATGGCGAATTTCGGGGATATGGTGTAGATCCAAGGAATGCTGACGCGTCCCGTCTAGTCATGTAATATGTTGAGGTACTATTTTCCTTCTTTTCAACTCCGTACCGCGCAGAATGTACATCGCATTGATAGGAGATGTTGCCTAATAATGATTTTCTATTGCAGTGAAGTATCTAGTTGAACATGGAGCCGATATCGAAGTTGCTAATCAGCATGGCCATACTTCGCTTATGATAGCCGCGTATCGCCAGAAAGTGAGTTTGACAAGGCCTTCTCGTTGCATAATACATATTGAACACCTCAATTGTTGATTTTAGGCTGAAGTGGTCAAATACCTTATAAGTTGCGGTGCTGATGTCAACCGGAGCAGTAAAAAAGGTGCGTTGTGGAAAAAGTTTGGTTTAGTGTTCAGAGTTAGGCTGCGTTCATAATTCGTCAGCGTCCGCCAGCGACTACCAGTGTTTGTTGAGTACGTCAGCGCCAGCTGCTAGGAAAGTTTAAACATCACCTAGCGAACACCAGCGTCCACCACCCTTTCGAGGGACCAGTATAGGTTCTAAGAAACGCCAGCTTTCTTTGTTGCCCAGCAGCGTACAGCAGCGTTTTCGCGGGCAGCTTTGCTGAATTTTAAAAGTGCACGCGAAAATGCTGGCGTACGCTTCCTTTCGCAGGTCGATACCTGTGTCCTGTACCGCTGTTGTGACCCAGATCTTTTCCGACGAATGATCTCTACCTTGCGAAGAAAACCTGAGCAGCTCTGCTTCCGGTATTGGGAGGCATTTTGCACTTTTGCTACTTCGCTTCAGGTATTGAGTCCATCTAGAGTGCTGTTTCATGGGCTACAAAAGTTGACAGGTTTCACCATGGTGACTCGACGAGCTTGCTCCATCTTCACAAGAGTTTACAGGTTCCACTGAGAGACCTGTAAACCGGAATAGAAAGCAGCGGAAGTGCAAAATGCCTCCCCCATCCCCCCTACGCGTCAGCGAACTGCGACGAGTGTCTGGATGGTTGTGCATAATGCTGATAATCTTATACAGATGGACCTATTTATTCAATGTTTCGCAAAAATCTGGCGATAAACTAGTTTTGTGTCACGATATCACTCAATATTATAATATTCCTAGATCTAGCAAGAGTTCTGGGATACTTTCAGGAAATACGGCCATGCACGATGCCGTAGAAGGCGAGAGTGTTGACGTTTGCGCACTGCTTCTCAATGCCGGTGCTCGTCTTGTACCAGATGAGTTTGGAGTTTGTCCTCTCATGTGTGCCGTCATGATTGGCGCAGATTGGGTAAGTAAAGCCTGACCTGATGGCTCTCTGGCTCTCTGCCCATTTATCTCTGGCTCTGCCCATTTACGAGAAAATTAGTAGGAGGTCATTTCAGATCCTACCAATGCTACTGGAACATTGTGAATCAGGAGAGAAACGCCGGGATGCCCTCAAACTGTTAGGTTGCACGAGAGTTGACAAAAAGATGGATATGGTAGGAGCCATTGAGGCATGGAATGATGCGCTAAAAGTGCCGTTAACAGAGGAGGAAGCGAAGCATGTCAGTGGTTTGATTTTTCCAGAAAAATCGTTTTAAATGAAATTGTACCAACTTTCAAAATGTGATCTCTTGTCAAGCCGACATAGTGCGATACACTGTTCGCAGACTTCAGTACGGTAGCGAAGGCTGAGTCCTCTAGTAATGGTGACGCGCTGAATCAAGATTGATAGTGTATTATCACTTCTGACCAATGCAGCTCTTCTTTCATGAAAAAACAGTCATGTCTCGAATTTTAGAGAGGGTGTGCTCACAGAGGTAGTTATTGGGTGTATATCTTTGGTCTGTTGGAGTAGTGCGATTAGCACCTTCAGAGGCTGTGCGCATCAACGTTTTCTTGTGTTGTCTCTGCCCTCATACTTGTTTTGCCGCCACCTCGGCCTAAACCAACAATTTTCCATAGACGCCTTGCCGCCTCCGCGCGCGGAACTTCGCCCGTGGACACGCCCACTCCTATGATTAGATATGGAGTTCACTTCCTCATCTGTGTTTTTATCCTGTTTTGACATGATAGAAACACAGATGAAGAAGTTAACTCCATATCTGACAAGTTCAAGCGAATTTCTATTTTTCAATTTGTTTACGTTGGCACGATTTCCTTTGGGAGAAGAGGGGCACTTTTTGAATTTCTGTCAATGTATCAACAATGTCAGTATATTAACGACATCATACGCCAGTGAGCTAGAAAGTCCTCGGTCGCCTAGAAGTCGCTCAGCAGATTTGTTTCTTGGGGGTCGTAGTATCTAAGGTATCAAGATGGACA